GGGGAGAATTACCATTGAAGCTTGATACCCACAGTCTTGTACTATCAAAAACACATTATATTTATGTGATGGAGTCCAAAGGATGACAAAAGCTAACTTGCCTTAGTAAATATCAGGATTCATCAGCATTTGTCTCTGCTAAAAGAACACTGTGTCAAATCCACACAAAGAAAAAAAAAATTAATCAAAGATCCGGTGAAGTCAATGTAAGAACATACTGGGGTTTATTCATTAAATCTGGAGGGTGCAAACTTAGGCTCACTTCTGCATAGAAACCAATCAGCTTCCAGAATGTATTGCCAAAACGTAATTGAACAAGCTGAGGTTAGAAGCTGATTGGTTTCTATGCAGAAGTGAGCCTGATTTTGCACTCTCTAGCTTCACTGTATATTGTATCAGCATGGTGTACTCAAGAGCGGACTGACAACTCATGGGGCCCCCGGGCAATAGGGGATCATGGGGCCCCTGTGTCCTTGCCCAAGCTCAAAAAAGCCTATGAAAAAGGTAGCAGGGGTATCTCATGGGGCCCCCTACTGACCCCGGGCCCTCGGGCACTGCCCGAGTTTCCAAATGGTCAGTCCGCCCCTGGGTGTACTTTATCTCAAGATGAATGTCTGAACCACAAATGTGGCAGTATGTGTTAATTCTGTGAAGACAATATTGATGGGCAAAGAGCAAAGTTTAATGGCCAGATCCAGTGGAAGGTTGGCATCTGGTTTTAAATATACATGGCCAAATTCAATAAATACATTTGCTTAAAATACATATAACCAAGGGAGCATTACATTGGTTATTTATCAATTTAAACAGAGTAAATATTTAGCAAGGTCAGAAAGCTGAAACCTCAGAGGAAACCTGTTATACAATATTCCATGGAAAAAGATTACTAATAAATTATGTGCTTAACCGCTTTCCACCCACATAGCGCATGTGTCCAGTGGCAAATATGGTGGGTTTTAATGCCCACACACCACACACTTACATCCATAGATGGCCGGGGTTTCTGTGTTCCTAGCACAGTGACTGAGCTGTCATAGACAGCCCTCAGTCTCTAGTCATGATCGGGAGCTGGTAGGACTAGCCTCCAATCATGTGACCACTGTAGCAGCCAATACTCTGGTCACGTTATCAGGCAGTCCTTCCCTCCCCTTGGGCATAAAGACCCAGTGAAAGGAATGCCTGCGCTGGGCAGGCAAGTGTTGATGTAATATAGAGATGATCCTCCTGCGTTACCTTCCTACCCCAAGTGACCCCAAAAAGCAAACAAAGTGGCCGTAGACACCTAACTATCTTCCAAAATAGTGAAAAAAAACAATTCAAGGGTTGATGTAACTTTGTTAAACGTATTTGAAAGAAAATCTGTTACTTTAAAATAGCTGCATGTTTTAAGACATTTTTTTTACAAACAGAGTCTGCTAAGAGAAGCATTTCCTACCAGTTTTGTCTCGCATAGTGACTTCTCAACGGTTAAGGGGCTGAATATGGTTGTCTGAAAGGAAACAGAAGCAAAACATGAATGCATATACAGTATTTCTAAATATAATACAGATAAAGAATAAAAACTGTATTTTAAATATTGTTATTATATTGGGAATAAATGAAATAAAGTATTAGGGAACCTGTTCTTCGGTTAGATCCTGTTTATGAGCTATGGCTCAAAATTAGTACACACAAAACACTCCGAGGAACCCTTAAAGCAAGACTTTTGTTCTCAGAAGATAGGTCTAGGAATTCAACTACGACCCCCCCTAAACCCATATCCCCAACCCTGCCCATACACATCCTCCAAATCGCATCAAAGAGTGGGTGTAGTCAAATTTTACTAACAATACCAGGAATTAAATACCAGGAGTGCATTACATACAGAGGACAGAGTTCAGGGGGGGGGGGGAATTGCACACAGAGTGCAGAGTTCAAGGTGGCACTATGTACATAGTGCAGAGTTCAGGGGTGCACTGCATACAAAGGGCAGAGTTCGGGGGGGGGGGAGGAATTGCACACAGAGTGCAGAGTTCCAGGTGGCACTATGTACATAGTGCAGAGTTCAGGGGTGCGCTGCATACAGAGTGCAGAGTTCAGCCTTCTTCCACAGCTGTTTACCTCTGTATCTCCCATCCACATATCATTTTCAATCCTCTTTTGCTCTGATCTCTGCATGCAAACCCCCTCCATTGCCCCCATCTTCTACCCCTCTCCTTAAAAGCTCCATCATCTTCCACATGTCTTACTTTTGCTGCTGTATTAAGCTAAAGCATTCAGCCAGCTCTAGTACCTCCCTGCTTACTGTAGCGGGCTCTGCCTCTCTCAGTTGCAGGGAGATCATTCAGTGGAGGTGTTGGCATCTGCACTGCACCCTGGGCACCTGCATCACCCTATCTCCATCCTTCATTCAGTGGAGGTGTTGGCATCTGCACTGCACCCTGGGCACCTGCATCCCCCTATCTCCATCCTTCATTCAGTGGGATCAGCTCTGGAGATCAGATCTGTGGGAGCTGCTGGGAGACAAGATATCACTTGTGTAAACACAGAAACTGGACTTCTGTGCTTACAAGTGATAGTGGTAAGCAGGGAGCAGAGGGCCTGAGCCAGAGGTGATGGACCTGAGTTCCACCAAGTTCCAGCTGAAAAAAATCCCTGCCTTAAATTATGGGTATACCTTTAAAAAGTGTCCTACACTACTGCACACTAAAAAACCCCAACCCAACTGCTTAAGTAATGGGTAATTAAGGAGACCAATGTTGGGCTGCAGCTAAGTGGGACTCTAATTTTTATAGTGTGGCCACAGGAGAGCGATACCATCTAACTCACTTCAAACAAGTGAGCAACACATGTTCTGTGCTCTCCTTTACCTAATACAGGTTAGTCACACTTTCACTACATTATCTTTGTTTAGCTTCACAGTATGTTTGTTCTTTCATCCTGTATATCTGTATCAGATATAAAGTGCAAATATGCACTTATGAACAAGCGAAGCTCAGTATTTTCAAATCTCCCTGCACATAACTGGTTGTTTGTGTTCACTTCACCTCACTCAGCACTTTAATAATCAGTCCCTGCATGTCAAAAAATATTTCCATATTCAGTTTAACCTAGGTGGTGCAATATGCTCAGTAATGTGAAATTAGGTGAACATTAGAACTGAGAATAGATGCGTGTAAATATCTAACCCCTTCCACCCAAACTGCTTTAATTGTATTTAACGTTGATTACGCAGGCATGAAATACAGTTCTAAGTAATTAAATTACACTTGCTTCCTCTTTTACATTTTATAGTTAATTATAATTTACTGCATACTTGTTGATAGCCTTGTCGCTGAATTACATGTATAAATTACCCGTGAAAAAAAGTTGTCACCTTTTCTGGGAAAAAAAAAAACAGACGTTGTAAACTCTTTCTTGCAGTGACACTCCACAAGTAGTCTTCGAACTGTGGCCCATGGGCTTTTTGTTTTCCTTTATCTGGCCCTTAGAATCATATTCCTTCCACTGATATGAGGTACAATTCTTCCCACTGATAACAATGATGGAGCACTATTCCTTCCACTGACACCAATGATAAAGCACTATTCCTTCCACAAAAACCAACAATGGGGCACTATTGCTCTCACTGATGCTAAAAATGGGGAAATATTCCTCCCACTGAACCAAATATGGGACACTATTCCTCCTATTAATACCAATGATGGGGCACTATTTTTCCCACTGACACCAAGGATGGGGCACTATTTCTTCCACTGACACCAAGGATGGGGCACTATTTCTCCCACTGACACCAAGGATGGGGCACTATTCATCCCACTGACACCAAGGATGGGGCACTATTTATCCCACTGACAACAGTGATGGAACACTATTTTTTGCACCGAGAACAACAATGGGGCACTATTCCTGAAACTGACACTAAAAATGTAGCACTATTCCTCCCACTGACACCAAAGATTGAGCATCATTCCTCCTACTAATACCAATATCCAAATGAGATGTGGATGGGAGATACAGAAGTAAGCAGCTGTGGAAGAAGGCTGAACTCTGCACTCTGTATGCAGTGCACCCCTGAACTCTGCACTATGTACGTAGTGCCACCTGGAACTCTGCACTCTGTGTGCAATTTCCCCCCCCCGGAACTCTACCCTCTGTATGCAGTACACTGATGGTGCAGTATTCCTCCCACCAGGCCTAAGCCATTGTTTACTCCCACTGTCCAGTGGCCACAGTTCAGCCCCCCTAAAGTATGATGGACAGTAAACTGTCCCTTTTGGTTTGGAGACCCCTGCACTAAACAGTATGCTTGTTTTGCAAAAATAATTAATCCACATCCACTTCTTAAAGGCTCTGTAGACTATCTTTCATGAAATCGTTTCTTACTGTTTTTTTTCTGCTTCCTTGCAATACCTTCTGAAAGTGCCAAACCCATCCTTTTTCCCTTCAGTTGTGTTTTGGAATGGGCATAGCATGTTAGTTGTGGTCATGTGTACTGCTCTATGCACACTAAATATTCTATAGCAGCGGTCACTAAATGGCGGACCGCAGTCTGCAAACGTCCCCAGCAGCGCTGCCGCCCGGACTGCCAGCCCGCAATGACAGATCTGCCGCTGAGCAGAACGGTTGTCACTGCAACATGACACTACATGTGCACCCTGCCCCTTTAAGCTCACTGTCTCTCTGGCTCCCACTCCCTGCCTGTACACAAGCATCCAGCAAGGATCCCGACACAGCTCCTGTCTGCCCTCAAGGTAGGGTGTTGTCTTACATTGAATGTGCCCATCAGAGTGCCCCTTAACATAACATGTGCCCATCAGAGTGCCACTTAATATAAATGTGCCCATCAGAGTGCCCTGTAACATAAAAAGTACCCATCAGCATGCCCCTTATTTTATGTTAAGGGGTACTCTGACGGGCACATTTTATGTTAAGGGGCACTCTGACAGGCACATTTTTTGTCAAGGGGCACTCTGATGGGCACATTTCATGTTAAGGGGTACTCTCACGGGCACATTTTATGTTAAGGGGCACTCTGACAGGCACATTTTATGTTAAGGGGCACTCTGATGGGCACATTTCATGTTAAGGGGTCACAAATGGGCACCTACTGTGGAAAGGGGCACTCTGATGGGCACATGTGATGGAAAGGGGCACTCTGATGGGGAATATGATGTAAAGGGGCAATCTGATGGTACTTTGAGTGTAAGGGGGCATTCTCACAGAAATACCTGATGTAAGGTGGCAATGTGATGGGCATACCTAATGTAAAGGGGCACTCTGATGGGGACAACTGATGTAAAGGAGCACACTGATGGGCACACCTGATGTGATGGGAATACATGAAGTAAAGTTACACTCTGAAGGCGACACCTAATAAGGGGCCACACTTATGGGCACTCCCTATTCGGACCACAGTCAGAAGAAAATTTTAGTGACCGAACCTCCTTGAATTTTAATTCAGTACCCCTGTTCTATAGTCTCTAGTCTGTCTCAGGGTGGATCAAGAGAAGGTGGCTACATACATACAGTTAGACCATGGATAATGAGCGTAGCCACCCTCTTACAGGAAGTCAGATCACAGCAAAAAGAATTTGGATATTTGGATGAGGCAGAAAGAAATACAAGATACTTTTTGAATTAAGAATAAATATTTGAATATATTTTTTTTTACCAGTGTTAAGTGTCATTTTAGGCTAGGTTTACACTAGTGCAGCTGCGATTTGATCCAATTTCCAGTGCTTATGTAGATTATGCAGTGTGACTAGGTTGTGTTTCTGATGCAGTTTTCATATTACTGTGTTTTGATTCATCCCTGCTGTGGCAGGGATGCTGTGGGGGGGGGGGGGGGCATTTCAGGTTGGCTGCCATATGGAGCCCTATGGTTTCTAAAAAATAATTTAAAGTTAATCTAAAAAAGTATAATTTAAAAAAATGTAGATTTGCGAATAATGTTTATTACAGTTTGGACTGTGTGCGATCTCGCTGCTCTCTTCTTCCACCATGTGGCCCCTCACTTTTGTCAGCAGGGATGAGGTCTGTGAGGGGAAAGGTCACTCTGTAGTGCAACTGCTCTTTCCACCTCCTTTCTGGATGATGTGGCCACAGTGGATGATGAGAAATATAGTCCTTAAAAGAGCTCTGTGCAATGGGAGGCTATGGGCTGCAGACTCCAAATCCCCAGGCTGCTCTGGATCAAGAGGAAGAGAGCACAGGACTGTTCCTAGGCAACTCTGCAGAGATATGAGACAGCGTGGGGACACCAGAGTGTGCGGACCTGCTGTCGTGCATGCCTACACCGGGAGACAGGCTGGTTGGGAATGGAGCTGCGTGCTGCTTCCATAGAGGACTGAGCATCTCTCTGGTGATGCAGACTGTGTGGTGCAGACATTCTGCTCCTACCTGTCTGTGCCAATCTTCAGAGAGACTGATTCTGAGACAGCCGATGAGAATCTGAATGCTGGACTGAGTCTTAATTTCTAAGACAACAGGTCACCAAGTGTACTGGACAGGATCTGTTTCAAACCAGGAGTGATGAGCAGAACAACAGACTTTAACCCCTTACTGCTCACAGTTAACGCCACTAGAGATTGATCCTTACCTAGCAGCCCTTTGGCCTTCTATTCCAGACAGCCTTAAAGAGACAGCTTCATGTGCACCACCCTACAGATGGGCCCCAATGATACTCAGAAAATATGGACAATTAGGCATCAGGTACTTTGTTTCCATCTCCAGGGGTACCCCTTGTCAGGAATGTTTTTTTTAGAAAACCTAATATGTGTTTGGATGTGAACTGTAAGCTCCTTGAGGGCAGCGATTGATGCAAATGTATAATATATTTGTAAGGCACTTCGTAAATTATATACTATAATACAATATAAGTACCTGTAGTTATTAAAGAAATAAATAAATCATAAAAAAATTGTGTTGACAGATAGGAAAAACGTAAAGTGGGTCATGTACAGGTCATGAGCAAGAGGAACAGGTCTGTTTATGTGAGATGTAAGCAGTTAAAGTGCCAAGATGGCATGCAGGACCTGGATGTGTGGGGAGTTTGGAGACTTTTTTGTCTGCAAAACCTGGCATTGGAACACTGTTACAGAAGACAGTGTAGTGGTTGTTGGTAACTGCTGCTTTGATTTCAAAGACTTTAAGGTTGGAAAATACAAGCAGCCTATGGCCATAGGATAGTATGCTTAATTTTTGCTGCTGTCTGGCCAAATCCCCCCCCCCCCCCCGCCTCATGTCCCTGAAGAGACTCAGAGGAAAAGGTAATCAAAGACCAAGGAAATTAATGTAGCAGCCCCACAAATTCCAGTTCAGTGCCCCCTTTCCAGTTGCTATTATTTTTACCCAGTTTGCATTGTTGTGCATGTCCATGTTTGCTTGGCCATATGTTTTTTAAAAAGAAAAATTAAAATCTGAAGTAATTTTACACAAATATGAAAATACATTAGAAATATGTTAATGTAGGAGCACCTTTGCCATGAAATGGTGGAAGGGGGAGTCATAATCATATAGGACAAGGAGGTAGAGGAGGAGGACACAAAAGAAGGGGGCCCTTCTCTACATGTAATTTAGTAGGGAAATATTCTCCACTTAAAATCACCAGCTCCTCATCAGACATAATTAGCAAACTTCATTTGGTTTTCACCCTAGAAGATTTTCCTTGGGACGAATCCTTTTCATCCTGCAGCTGAATCTGGACCAGCATTTCGCTCTCAGCTCTATAAAAAGCTAGGTTTAATCCTTTTCTATTTTGTTTCAGAGACAGATGGCCACACACTTCTTAAGAATCCATGAAAAACATTCAGCTCCCAACTTTCACCTACAAGATGGTATTTCTTGTAGCCATCACCTCTGTGAGGCAAATGTTTGAGCTGGAAGTCGTATGTTGCAAGGAACCCTGTCTTTGACATCTTTCGAAATTGACCCTAGTATGTATCCATGGCTTTGATTGTAAGCTCCTTAAGGGCAGGTACATTCTATGTAAAGTGCTGCTTAAGTTGTTGCCACTATATAATTACCTGTAATAAATAATATTATAACATAAAAAATAAGGTAGTTACCAGTTTGCATTGCCATCCCTGCCTGTGTTTGGGTGACCTATGCAGGGGTAACCTTACAAGGAAAAAAAAGTAAAAATTTTAATAAAAAGTATTAAAAGGTTGCAAATATGTAAGTAAAATGTGTAAAAAAAAATTATATTGCTGCTGGGAAAGCATAACTGTTTCACTGAGTTACAGTGGATGAGTGATGACATCAAAACCTTTGTTATAGACTTTCTGTTAGTATTCTGCTGCTATTCTCTTTTACATTGGGTGTTATACCAGTTATGCCCAAGAACCCGTCAGATAAAACAGGCTTCAAGTGGTCAGATTCCTCTGCAAACTGTATTTTAAACAGAAAATGACCCTTGTCTATGACATTAGATGTTAATGTCCACAGACTGCATTGCTCATATATTTGATCATTGAAGGCAGATTTGAGGAAGGGCAGGCAACCTATGGCCATAGGTTCTACACTTTGCTTTTTGCTGCTGCCTACCCTTCCAACTGGTTGTAGAATTTTCCCGTTAAATTTCTGCTGCATACCCTTCCCTCTGTTATGGAAGGACAAGAAGCCTATTAGCCTCTTTGCCTATTAGCATTGAAAATTGCAGAACTGAGTATGAATATTATCTTTTATTTTCCTATAGATTTCCTCTTCTTGGGTCCCCCACCAGCACTCCAGGCCCTTCCTCCTGCCTAGTGCCCCCATAGCAAGCAGCTTGCTATGGGGGCACCCGAGCAGGTTTGCTTCCAAGCTGCTGTTCTGTGTGTCCATCCACACACAGAGCACTGCTTGGCCCTCTCTGCTCTCTCCTTATTAGCTCGCTGGCTGTGATTGACAGTAGCGGGAGCCAATGACTACTGTTGCTGTGTCAGCCAATAAGGGGGTAGAGACCCAGGAGAGCCAAGGCTCCCGTGCACATCACTAGATCAGGTAAGTTTGGGGGGGTTCATGAAGGTTTTTACCTTCATGAATAGAATGAATGAAGGAAAAAAAACCTTGAGCTTTTACAACCATAATACTTTTAATACAACACATGGGCAATGCTTCTATAATAAAGATCTTGGAATGATTAGTCCACCCAAAAAGTATGGATTTAATTTATAAAAATGATAGATTTAAATTTTACATTTTATTTATTTGTAGCCACTGGTGGGCTGGATATCCTACTGGTTTCTCAGAGACATCAGTAGTAAGCTCATTGCTGCCAGTCCATAGCAAAACTACCCTCCATAAATACAGCATCCTGCTTAACTTACATTAGAGATTTACAAAAATGAAGGATAATTAAAGGGTCCTACTACACATAAAAATGTGGGGTGGAACCACACTGTCTACTAAGTATCCTATATAAGATTTAAAGCTAATACTGTAATTACTAATTTAATAGGTAGAAAAATAATTTGATGCATAGAAAATTGTAAAAAGGATCTACATATGTGCAAATGACCTGCTATTTGAAATACAATTTCATCTTTATCAAGAAAAGCAGTAGATGATGGAGCAAGATGATACTTTGCAGGTGCATTTGTTTACAGCCTGCTTCTGTGGAAAGTAGCTGAGTTTAGACAAATGAAGCAAATGTGTGTCACATACTGAAAGATGACTACAATGAAACCATTTGTAAGAGAAATCCGTCAGCCCTACTGTTTTACGCCCTCTAGTGTAATATACATCAAAAACATACAGAATTACCAGCATAAGTTTTTTTTTAAGTTGTACATTATTTTCTTCTCTCCTCACCAGAAGACAATCTGCATCAAAGTTTCCCAGAGCAACTGGTCATGGATGGTGTAAAGAAAATTGACAATTCCCCCATGTGTCCCTTGCATTGGGTCATGTGATCTGATCTCATGTGCAGCATCTCTGTGCCCAGCACGCAGGAAAGTCAAGAACCTTATTTGTGTAACTATTATTTGTCATTATTTGTAATAGCTTGTTATAAACTTTAGGAATAATGATATTTATCTTGAAATAAATGGTTCTGTCAACATCTCACAATAGAGAATAAAATACATTTGCACACTTGAGATCTCCATTCATCAAAGAGTGTTGACATCCAGAGGTGAATTAGGAAGGTCAAGGATGCAAGGTGCAAGAAATCGGCATCTGTAAACTCTCCTTGCATTCAACAAAACCTCATCATGTCCAACTCTCCCACCTCCAACAATAACTCATGTGTCCAACATCCCCAGCCCCCCATAAACCCCAAACCTCCTGAATACAATACTCCACTCACAATGCACCCATGTACCTTGCCTCCCTTCCCTTATTTCTCTGAATGC